CGTGACTTTCGCTAACCTTCAATAATCCTCGTGTACAAGGATTAAGCCCCTGTTTCGTATTAATTTTTCACCCAAAAAAATTAATTTTTTGATCATTATTTCACTATTTCAGTCGTTATTTTTGACTTCTTCACTTACAGGTGGGATCCATTTTTCTCTCTAACGGTAAAAAAAAAATCAATTCTCATAATCACTACCAAACGGGTCTAAATTCATAAAAGTTCTACAAGGCCCTTATATTGGATGGTGGACCCCATGTGAATATTTTATTATATTAAATAAACTATCTAATATCTATTCCACTGTTGTGTATAATCTGTAACACTTCTGTAAAAATTTTCCCCGTAGATATATACCGATTCATAGTCCTCAAAGAACCAGTCTAGATGTACAGAAAATTTGTTTACAGGACTTCTACAAACAACACACAATAATGGGATGGATGGTCTATTTTTTATAATAAAATATTCACATGAGGTCGAAAATTCTATGAAACTTTTAGCAATTATTGTTCGTGGAATTACTCTTCCTCAAAACATAAACAGTTGTCCCACAAACTTCTCTGTAGTGCCGCACTCTCGCCACTGTCCTCCAACAACTTCAAGCTTTTCCACGAACCGCGTGGAGTGCTATTGACACTACTAAATGTTATCCTTCGATTATCCTAATTAATGAGAGCTAATTAATCTACCCATTTCATAATGAATAATATCATTTAGTATCAGTTGTACTAAAATATCGATTTAGATATCTATATTTTATAAGTTATATTAAATGAATCATGTGACTTTACATTTAAATGAATTAGTCATTTAATGTCACGTAATCGTAACCTAAATTGGTATTTAATATTATTGATGATAAATAATATTACTCATTCATAAGATCCATTATTATTCCTTTTTATAAATTTATTATTACATCATGCTTGGCCCTTATTCTCTCAAATTCATTTTCAATTACAAGTTTCATGGTATTCACAATATTTATTAAATTTTCAGCTATACATTTCGTAAATTTTTTATCGAAATTTATTAAAATATCGATCTTTAGCTAAACTAAATGCAAGCTTTATAATTTGTCAAATAAAAGCTAATTTTCATCATTGATTGCCAAACACGACTTTTGCATATTAGCAATTAAGTTCTATTTTTATTTTTTTATTTGCAAGTACTTGTAAAAATATTGTTGATTATATCAAAGAGATTAAGAATGTTTTTAATTTCTTTAGGGAGGAATTTTTTTATTTTTCAGGTAATTCACTATTTCTTTCTCTCTTTCATCTATCACTTTCACTCATCTATCCACCAATAAAAAATGTGCAGATATAATATTTTCTAAATTAAAAACTAAATCAATCAAATAATTAATAATTTTCTCAAAAATAAGTTTTAGATAATTGAATTGCCTAAAATTTATTTTATTTCCATGCAAATTATATGCTCTCAGTTAAATGCACTATAATTGATTAAAAAAAATTCTTTATTTCGTGTCAAAATTACATCGTGGACTTGAAAATTGAAATGTGGTCAAATTTAAAAGACTTTGCAAAAATAGTAATTTTTGCCCTGATTTGGTAATCATTCTTTCAAAATTTATTTTTTTCTCATACTTATTTTTAATCATATATTTTCAAAATAAAATATTATTCGCTAAAATTCAATTTTTTCCCTTTTTAATTACATATTCTTCTAAAATTTACTATTAAAAAATTCATTCTTTCCAAAAAAATGTATGTCTTTTATTAAAAATAAAATGCCCAATTTTTCAAATATGGTCAAACTCTCTATATGGATAAGATTCCATAGTTAATCCTCAGTTTGGCCCCTATTAAATTATGATTCATTTTTTCTTTCTTCTTATCGATCACACATTCTCCAATAAAAATTATTACACGAAAACTCAAAACTTTTTTTTTCAACAACAATTTATTTAAAAACTCTATTCCATAAAGGAAAAAGCCTCAAGTACAAGGAATTCCTTATCGAATTCATACAAACATTGACATGACGGAACCTGATCCTTTTTTTGGTTTTTTTTTTTCCATTTTTCAATTATTTCACGTCATGTGTTGTCTGTCAAAAATTTTTGTTCTTATTGCATGATTTTTCCAAAAATTATAATCTCAAATAATAATGGTCAAACAAGGGCTAAAAAGGCTGGTGCACAATTCTGGAATCCAAGTCAATAGCTTGTAAAAGAAGCTTTGTAAGTGATGCGCCATAATTATCGAATAATACTTGTTAGAGAGAGAGAGAGAGAGAGAGATTTTTAATCTATTAACTTAAAAATTCGAAATTGAAATCTCGAAATTATCTTGTAGAAAATAATACTTCAGATTACACCCACAAACTTAAACATAGATTTTAGTTGAAGTGTAAAACTGAAGTCTAAGTGTCGAATTATGCTGAAAAACTCGAAATGGAGATGAATCTCGATTTTTTTAGAAACTTCAAGTTGCACGAATAATTAGACTAAGCTCTTTATTTTAGATAGATATTTAAAGTTCAAAATTTGAAGAATCTCAAAATGTTGTTAAATGTCAAATTTCATATAAATTTTAAATTGTAAAATCTCAAATATTATAGCAGATTGAGTTATATATATAGAGAGAGAGAGAGATTGAGTTATATATATATATATATATATATATATATATAGAGAGAGAGAGAGAGAGAGAGAGAGAGAGAGAGAGAGAGAGAGTTGAACATAAGAAATTGAGTGCTATTCGAAGGAGGTGATCAAATATTAGGCACGTTTGAAGTTACAGAGCCTAGCAAACTTTTGCTACCCAAATGATCATTGAACTTTGTAAAAAGTTTTTAAGGGATCACTGAATTTTAAAAATCACCTAAATTGTCACTGAATTTCGCAAAAGGTTTCTACGGGATCGCTGAATTTTAAAAATCACCTAAATTCAATGACCACTGGAAAACCTTTTTGCAAAGTTCAGTGATCTTGTGGAAATTTTTTACAAAGTTCAGTGACCATTTAAGTAATTTTTAAAGTTCAGTGATCGCGTAGAAACCTTTTACAAAATTCAGTGACCATTTAGGTGATTTTTAAAATTCAATGACCCCTTGAAAACTTTTTATAAAGTTCAGTGACTATTTGGACAATTCACTCTAGTTTTGTATAACAAACTTGAGATTTACCTAACAAATTTGAGGTTTGTTCAGTATACTCAAATTTTTTATAGCAAAATCAAGATTTAACCTGTAGATGTCTACAAAATTTGATATTTACCAAGTGAAAGCTCATCGTTTCACCTATCAAACTACATATTACGTACAATACCTAGTTCATAATTCTCTTCACTCTATCAAAAATTATATTTTTCAAAGTTCAACCATTACATCAAACAATCAATTCTAATCTCGGCATTTTAACGCCACATTTTTTGTCCCCTAAGTTAGAAAATGCATAAAAACGTGAATATTCAAAATCACCAAAAAAAAAAAAAAAATCAAACAACAAGAAATATAGTGAAAAATCTGCATATTTTGATCCGTATTTTTGGATTAAACAATGCACAAAAATTATCCAACAATCGATTAGCAAATAGTTCCCTAAAGTTTATATTTTTTAAAATTTTACCACAAAAAGACTTCAATATACAAGAAGAAAAAGGCTGGCAAACAAGAAATAAATGAAACCCTACTGACTCCAGGATTCTACGCCATAGATTTTGATGAAATGGAGCAGCTCTTTAACATAGAATTCAACAAGAATTTGAATATGTCTGAGTTTAAGTCTTTGTTGTAAGAATTCAAGATGATTTCAACCAAACTCATTTTGTGAGGAACAAAGAGTTCAAGTAGGTTCAACTAGTGCACATTGCACATGGGCTAGGCAGAAATGCTGGGGCATATAATGATGAAATTTATGGAAGCCCACTGTTGTAGAAGGTGCAGCGTGACGTGACAACTCAAAATGGGTGGTCCACGATGGTTAGAACTATAGTCGGCGCCAAAATTGACTAAAAAAGGCAGTGTGCTGCACTCCACTAGCTACATTTGTCGTATAAATCTGTTATTTGTTAAATTGGTTAACAGGAAAGTGTTTGGGGGTTGATGGCAACTCTTTGTGGTGTAAGCTCCGATGCTTTAGGTGGCGGTTGGTGAGATAGAGGCCGATGACACCATGAAGTCTCCAAAATAATGAGTTGGGTGGGGCTGGATATATGAAGTTATTGTTGTTTTTTGGCCTTTTTTTAGTTTCGATTTTTAATTATTTGTTTGAGACTTATTTGTAATTTTTTTGAAAAAACTGGGCCTATGATTGCAACGAGTTCTTAATTTTTTATTTTATTTCCTCTTTCTTTTATTTAAATAAAGAGCGTATATTTGTTATTTTATATATTTTTATTGAGAAAATGGATAAAAATGATATTTTTCACAATGAAACATGAAGATAGATGTGAAAATGCTAAAAATTGAAATGTAGGGACGTCTTGAATATTATTATAAGGACGTTTGTGCTAATAAGCCTTTTGAAAAAGGACCAAGAATTAAAACCTTTAAATTTTGGCCACTTTTCATAATAGGCGGTCAAATAGGACACTTCTAGGATCGATTGTGGTACATCTACGTAATAAATTAATAACTTACATAATAGTTTACCAACAATTGATGTGACGAAATTTAATTGAATCAAAATTTTATCAATCAAATAACTTCTCCATTTACATTTCGACTTCTTACTATTATGTAAAACATTATATATAAATAGTTATATACAAGTCCTCCATATCAATTCAAATTATATTTTCGCTTGTTTTCCATTATTTGCCGATTAAAATGAAAAATATGACTGTTATCCATCACATCGAATCCCAATATTTGATTTTTTATCTCTTGCATAAGGCTCGTAAATATTATATTTTTTATTTTTATTTTTACATTAATGTATATCAAACAAGACCTATATTTGACTTATAATTAATTAAAGTAAGCGTGATTATTCACTGATCAGTTATTCTCACAGACTTCTTTTCCGTCACGTCACCGTACATAAATACTCCCACTTTCTGTGAGTATATATGCGTATGTCCTCCGCTATTATTCAATTTTTTTCACAAGGGGTTGGTTTGTCGGTCAATTTATACAAAACCCGGCAATTGTAAGTTTAATGCAATTAATTTAATTGGAAATTAGGTTTTGATTTGGTGGGTATGACTTATAATGGTACGATTGAGGAACCTAGAGGGGATTATGTGAATTTGGAGGAGGGTTTTGATGGAGGGGCCAACGGGGAGGCATCGACGTCATCGGGCTGCGCCGGAGGCGAAGGAGGGTGGTGCTGGTCGTTGTGGTGGTGGTTAAAGCTGGTGTTGTTGGTGACATTTTTAGGGGTCTTGGCTGCTGTCTTCTGTAAATGGGTCGGGCCATTTTTCATGGACAAGGTAATTTTCCTTCTGGGTAATACCTTGAATGTTGATCACTTCTATGGCTTTCTGAATTTGGTTTTTAGGTTTTTTCTATTAGAGCGGTTAAATTATTAAAAATTTATTTTACCTTTTGTCCGACTGTTTCTCACTGTCAATCATTCACATTTTTTAGCTTGTAATGCAATAATATATTTTATGTTTATTCAAGATTTTAATTTTGGGAGTTTTGGGAGAATGGAAAGTTAATAGATGAATGCTTACATTATGGGAAAGGTTATTACAGGAAGCAGAGTTGGCTTGGGGAAGAAAGGTGATGTGGAAGTAGTAATATCAGCCGTTCTTTGTTAATATGGACAAACGAAATCATAGAATTCTAGAAGGAACGAGGAAGTAAGCTTTATTATCGGGAGGGCAAAATTCCTAGTGTCACCATGGGTCTGCCAAGTGCTTGATTTTCTTCCTTTTTTTTTCTCCAATTGGAAAGAAATTCTTTGTTGTTGATATTAGTTTTGTGTATAGTGGATACGTTGTGATCTTGAATTTGTTAATTCATTCCTTTCATTCTTATTGGTAGGCATTTGTATATGTGGCTTAAAAATGAGCGCGAAAGAATCTATATCTATTAGATTCCAAATTGAGAAACTTGCTTGGTTTTTTCTCTTTGCATAGTCTAAGTGATGCTAATGTCTCAGCTGATTTGCATGGCTATAAAAGCCAAAAGGAAGTGTATATTGTTTGCCTTTCATTATAATCTCTTTATAATTTAAAGGTCAAAGTGAAACTTTAATTTTAACTACACATCTTGTAGGACCCACAACCATTACCCACTTATTAACCACTTATTTCTATGACATTATAAATTCAGCAACTTAGAACGAAACCAAACAAGCACTAAATACAATTTAAGTGTGTTTCATTTGAAACAGTAGTTAAGGGAAAGCAACAATCAGTACGAAGGGAAGGAATGGACTAGACAGATTAGTTATGAAGGAAATGGAGGGCAATGGAGGCGTACTACTGATAAAACCTATATTGCAATCCATTGAATCATTCCATTTCCTAGCCCTTGACAAGGCCAAAACACAAGTCGAAGATTTCATTATTTCCCACAAATTTCTTCCCCTTAATTTGAATGGATTCTGAGACTTGCCTAGCGCGTTTTATAGAGGTTATGAAAATTTTAATTACTCTACATTCTTCCTTAACATATTTTATTATGTGAATGACATTGTGAATAAACGTTTAATGTAAATCAAGCAAGAAGCTTGGATGTGGTTTTGTACCATTTAAATCAATGATCATGGTTCCCTCTGGTCATATTGCTTTCTAACTTCATTTTTCTTTTCTCCAGGAAATTCTTCCCTTAATTCATTGGGAAACGAAAACATTCAGCACACAAGTCCTGGCACTTCTAGTCTTTGGTTCTGTGGCATTATTTCCAATCCTACTTTTACCTTCTAGTCCTTCGATGTGGGTTGCAGGGATGACTTTTGGATATGGGTATGGTTTTCTGCTGGTCATTGGATCAGTTGCAATTGGTGTCTCTCTCCCATATTTCATTGGTTATCTGTTCCGTCATAAAATGCATGTACGTGCCTTTTATAAACTGTTCTGTTCCTACAATGAGCTACCTTTGTTTGCCACATTATAGTATATGTGGATCTAATCATTTCCTCTTCTTATAGATGTGGTTAGAGAGACATCCAAAGAAAGCTTCCATCATAAGATTAGCTGGTGAAGGAAATTGGTTCAATCAAGTTCGAGCTGTTGCATTGATTAGGATTTCTCCCTTCCCCTATGTCATATATAACTACTCTGCTGTGGCTACCAGTGTTGGGTATGGTCCATACTTGTTGGGGTCAATTGTCGGAATGGTTCCAGAAGTATTTGTTGCACTCTACACGTAAGAATTTCTCTCTGCCTCTACTTTTATCCATCTGCCTACCATATGTCCTCCCCTAATCTCATATCTCCCCCTTAAATTAAGTATGGTGAAATTGCAAGCGCACTTTTGTTTGTAGCGAGCTGATGTTGTTATGAAACACAAACCTACCTTGTACAATTGTTCATGTACATCCAAATTCATCACATTTGTTTATTTAGGTAGGTTCGTACATAGATTTTCCACTGTCTTCTTATTGTTCATTATCTCTTAATGATGTATGTAATCATAAATTTCTTCTTTGTTTCTGATGCTGATGTTACTACCAATTATCTTCTTGTGTTGCTAACCACTTGCACTAAGGACAACTCATTTATTATTATTATTTTTTTAATTTTTCTTTCCGCGTTACAAATGGAAGCATACAATCTCTTTAAGCTGGAAGTTAAGCAGACCGCACCATTATTTTTTGTTGAACATTTAAATCGGTGGTGATGGAAGTGTGTAGGAATGTTATCCATTGCCCCCACACCAAGGTCGTTTTGGCAAAGAGCAGCAATAGTCCTAGTGTCAATCTCTGCCACTAACTGCCTGCTGGCAACCATGCAGGAAAATGTTCACGTGTTTAGCTGTGTTGTATTCTTTTCCTTTTTATTTGGTGTAATTGTGCTTTAAGTGATGTTCACATTCTTTGATGCCTTCCATTCTGCTAGCAATGTCTGCGATGTTTTGTTGCTTATGATAACTCAGACAATAAGCTTCCATAAAGACATGCCAAACCCCTACAGGATTTGGTTGCTTTGTAATGTGTTTCTGTTTACTGTCCAACACGGCAAATTATCACTTTATGTTATGTTTTTTAGGGAATGATGGAATTTTTCATTTTGTAGTGGCATCCTGATAAAAACCTTGGCCGATGCATCCAGTGATCAGCACTCTTTGTCAGCATCAGAGATAATTTTCAATGTGATCGGATTTTGCATCACGGTGGCTACAACAGTGGTAATCACATTGTATGGCAAAAGGCGGCTCAATGAACTGCAAAGGGATGAGGACCTATTGCAGTGATCTTAGGATTTCTGCCTGGACAAATTAAGCTGGAGAAGGCAATGCCACCTCACAGGACGAGGTCGATATGGATGCATAGAGTGTAAGGGAAAAAGGAAGCTTACACGACTAATATTGGCACTCTGAATGTAGGATTGGTGGTAACCAGTAAAACCATTTATAGTTACTTTCTCCTTCATTGTAGAACATATATGTATATAATTGAAATCCCATATTTTTTAAGGGTTAAATTGCTGTAAACTTGGCTTTGCAAATTAATATTGCAATTTGATGGTAGTAGGTCTTGTAAATGTTATCTGGCTTTCCTTTTTCTGAGATGTGCTGTTGAGATCGAATTACTATTTTCAATGTGCTTGTTAATGTTTCCTACCACTCGAATTCACCCTGAAATTCCTTGACATAAAAGCATCTATCTAACATTACATGGTGACATGTTGAAATTATTAGGTAAAATTCTGTGAGGGGTTTCTAACCTTTCATAGACGTGACTACCTATTTTTCTATCCACCTATTTACTGCATTTATGTTTCCAACCTTCTAAAACCGTGGCTATATGTCCACAATTAACAAAGCAAGTGGATATGTTTTATAAACACTGAGGATCTATTCGGATTTCTAAATGAAAGTTGAACAAGTAATGTTATTTATCACAATTTTTGTAGGATAGAGTTATCCAACTTGAGTTACGAGAGCACGATTTATTATTATTATTATTTTTTTAAGTCAATTATTATCTAGACCGATAATGATATTAAAACTGGAAAATATTATTCTATGAAGAACGTTTAAATTTCTATTAATTTTATATCAAATTCCTGTTATGGTCTAATCTATTGCGCCAAGAAGCATCCTAAATGTCAACTCTTTACGTTTTATTTTTCAATCAAGAATGTATGAATAGGATTCAAAGCCAATAAAATATGATAGAGTATGTCGCAAATCACAACCAAGAAATTGGAAAAATTGAACCTCTCTAGTTTATTGCTTGAGGATTAAGTCAATCCTCCAACTGTTGAAAAGAAATAAGTTGGTTCTTAATGCCATAGTTGAAAGTTGAAAGCTATACAAATATGTGCTTAATTGGTATGAGACTCTTGCGACGTCTAACTTTATGAAATGCATCTTGACTTGTGCTTAAGAATATATGCATATTTTAACGAGGATCATATGACAATTTAACACATATATTTGGACATTTTACATTTAAAGAGATTATCTTACATCAGTAACGAAAGACTGACAATTAAGATTGAAGACAAAGATTTCAATGCCTGCTCTCCGTGGTGAGACAGACCCTACAAAAGGCACATTGAGTCATTGAAGATGAAGATTTCTCGCAAACAAACAGAATGCGTTCTTCTATTTTTATATTAATAAGCATCAAAAAGTACAGTTATTAATTGAATTGTCACACCTGCTTCTCTTTCCAGCCAAGCCAGGCAATATTTCATTTATCAATCTCCTTTTGCCAACCAGCCAACAGCAATTCTTTTTCTAGAAGCGTGTTTATGTGTAAATCTTTCACTGCACCTAATTCTTGAACTCATCAACTCAAACTAGCCCAAACGCTCTAATGATGCAGAACTCTTATTTCATTGTTAACCAGAGAAAGATCCCAAAAAAATACCACAAACTCTGTCTTTTTACCATGCCCACAAAATGTGCTTCGATTTCTTCCTATTTTCTCCAAGATTGAGGATTTGAAATGTTACCCTTTAACAAATATACATCAAAGAACTCATTTGTTCGTGTTTTCATCATTGTATATGCAAAAGCAGAGACCAAATGTTGTAGGCCTGGATCCAGCAAATATAATGCTGGTGTGTTGTTGGTAACATGAACAAAAATAGAAATAATTATTCATTATCTTATTTTGTTGTATGCATTCTGTTTCTTGAGTTTTTGACAGAATTAGTCTCACCAATAACTGAAAAGAAAATGTTTCTTCATTTCAAGGATAACATTTCAATTGACCCCTTTTTGAGTTTGAGTTCTTGAGATCAAAATTAGAGTTCCTGCAGAGATTATAAAGGTGTATCTTGTAATTAAGATGGAAATGTGATGAGAATTGTGTAATGTAATAATAGTCCTGGTGGGGTTTTATCTCCTGCCTTTTCTGGATTAAAATCTTTTTTGAGGATAATCAATTTGTTTAGGAATAAATTACAAGGAAATATTCCTTTGGAGTATGAAGGGATTGATGCATTATGGAAGATTAATTTAAGCTCCAAAGCTTTATCTGGGGTAATCCCAAGATTTTCTTGGGAGACTCGCCAAATATAAGTTTCTTGATTTAACAAGAAATTGGTACAATGGGGAGATTCCTTCAGCTTTGTTCAAGAGTACAACGTTAGTTTCTTTAGCACATAACAATATTTTGGGTGCAATCTGTGTCGATTAGTAATTGTAAGAATCCTGATAGGATAGATTTGGCTTTTAGCAGTCTCAATGGAGAATTGCCTGAAGAAACTTGTGGCATTTCAGTGGTAGTGTACTTCTTGGTGAGGAGTAAAGTGATATCAGGAAGTGTTCAAGTCTTCATGATAATGTTTCTGCGAGTAGAAGCTTGGAGCTTTGGATCTTAGTAGCAATATATTTACAGGGGCACTCCTTTTGCGATTCTTGGATCGATAAATCTTACCTATTTTAATCTTATGTGGAAGGGTTTCATGGGGAAATTCCGGAACTGTGAGTCGAAACATCATCACTGGCTGTTATGTGTTTACATCAACTTTTATTAGGATTCAACTGAAAAAACTCTGAAAAATGCATGCAGAGATGTTTCAGGGAATTCTTTGGAGGGAGGCATTCCACAAAATCTTGCCAACATGACATACCTCAGTAACTCTTGACCTACATCATTCTTTGGATTTATCAGAAGATTTTATATTCGATTCAATTCCTTTTACACTCAAGAATTTGAAAAACCTAACTCATTTCGACGTGTTACAACATTTCTGGTGCTATCCATTCGATTCCAAGCATGACTGAGGTTGTTTAGGCTCGAGTCCATGAGTAACGGTCTGGAATCATAACTAGTGTAGGATACATTAGTTAATTTGGTAAAGAAATACACACAATATTCTTTTGCAATTCCAAGCTGAGTTACCATTATCAACTGTAATCCTGCTATAAAAACATTCCGTTGTAACTTAACAGAAGAAAAAGAAGTTAAAATCTTATTCTTTTCCAGTTCAATCCTATATTGAGTGCCAAATTATGCTCATTGCAAAATTTTGGCTCATCCCATTATAAAATATGCACATATAGCGTGTTTAATAAAGAAAAAAATACCCAAATTTTCAAATATGGTCAAACTCTTCATATGGATAAGATTCCATGGTTAATCCCCAGTTTGACCCCCATTAAATTATAATTCATTTTTTCTTATCGATCACACATTTTCCAATAAAAATTATTACACGAAAACTCAAAACTTTTTTTTTTTTTTTTAACAACACATTATTTAAAAACTCTATTCCATAAAGGAAAAAGCCTCAAGTACAAGGAATTCCTTACCGAATTCATACAAACATTGACGTGACGGAACCTGATTCATTTTTTTTGGCGTTTTTTTTTTTCCATTTTTCAATTATTTCACGTCATGTGTTGTCTGTTAAAATTTTGTACTTAATTTTTCCAAAAATTATAATCTCAAATAATAATGGTCAAACAAGGGCTAAAAAGGTTGGTGTACAATTCTGGAATCCAAATCAATAGCTTGTAAAAGAAGCTTTGTAAGTGATGCACCATAATTATCGAATAATATATATATATTTTTTATATCCAGGTATCCCAACTTACACCAGACTAAATTCTGGACCACCAAAATCCTTGCCCCTAGAATCTTGAAGGGGGTAAATCGCGGGTTATGCCTCAACTGGATCACAGGTTCCCCTCATTGCATGTACATTTCTGCGCACAAGAGATCCTCCTTCACAGTGATTGCTCCATACCAAATATTTGGCCGCAGGTTCCCACCAAGAATCGAACTCTCTACCCTACCGCTGGAAGCAAGACAATATTGATAGAGAGATTTTTAATCTATTAACTTAAAAATTCCAAATTGAAATCTCGAAATTATCTTGTAGAAAATAATACTTCAGATTACACCCACAAACTTAAACATAGATTTTAGTTGAAGTGTAAAACTGAAGTCTAAGTGTCGAATTATGCTGAAAAACTCGAAATGGAGATGAATCTCGATTTTTTTAGAAACTTCAAGTTGCACGAATAATTAGACTAAGCTCTTTATTTTAGATAGATATTTAAAGTTCAAAATTTGAAGAATCTCAAAATGTTGTTAAATGCCAAATTTCATATAAATTTTAAATTGTAAAATCTCAAATATTATAGCAGATTGATATATATATATATATATATATAAGAAATTGAGTGCTATTCGAAGGAGGTGATCAAATATTAGGCACGTTTGAAGTTACAGAGCCCAGCAAACTTTTGCTGCCCAAATGATCATTGAACTTTGTAAAAAGTTTTTAAGGGATTATTGAATTTTAAAAATCACCTAAATTGTCACTAAATTTCGCAAAAGGTTTCTACAGGATCGTTAAATTTTAAAAATCACCTAAATTCAATGACCCCTAAGAAACTTTTTTGCAAAGTTTAGGGATCTCGTGGAAACTTTTTACAAAGTTTAGGACCATTTAGGTAATTTTTAAAATTCAGTGATCGCGTAGAAACATTTTACAAAGTTCAGTGACCATTTAGGTTATTTTTAAAGTTCAATGACCCCCTTGAAATTTTTTTATAAAGTTCAGTGACTATTTGGACAATTCACTCTAGTTTTGTATAACAAACTTGAGATTTACCTAACAAATTTGAGGTTTGTTCAGTATACTCAAATTTTTTATAGCAAAATCAAGATTTAACCTGTAGATGTCTACAAAATTTGATATTTACCAAGTGAAAGCTCATCGTTTCACCTATCAAACTACATATTACGTACAATACCTAGTTCATAATTCTCTTCACTCTATCAAAAATTATATTTTTCAAAGTTCAACCATTACATCAAACAATCAATTCTAATCTCGGCATTTTAACGCCACATTTTTTGTCCCCTAAGTTAGAAAATGCATAAAAACGTGAATATTCAAAATCACCAAAAAAAAAAAAAAAATCAAACAACAAGAAATATAGTGAAAAATCTGCATATTTTGATCCGTATTTTTGGATTAAACAATGCACAAAAATTATCCAACAATCGATTAGCAAATAGTTCCCTAAAGTTTATATTTTTTAAAATTTTACCACAAAAAGACTTCAATATACAAGAAGAAAAAGGCTGGCAAACAAGAAATAAATGAAACCCTACTGACTCCAGGATTCTACGCCATAGATTTTGATGAAATGGAGCAGCTCTTTAACATAGAATTCAACAAGAATTTGAATATGTCTGAGTTTAAGTCTTTGTTGTAAGAATTCAAGATGATTTCAACCAAACTCATTTTGTGAGGAACAAAGAGTTCAAGTAGGTTCAACTAGTGCACATTGCACATGGGCTAGGCAGAAATGCTGGGGCATATAATGATGAAATTTATGGAAGCCCACTGTTGTAGAAGGTGCAGCGTGACGTGACAACTCAAAATGGGTGGTCCACGATGGTTAGAACTATAGTCGGCGCCAAAATTGACTAAAAAAGGCAGTGTGCTGCACTCCACTAGCTACATTTGTCGTATAAATCTGTTATTTGTTAAATTGGTTAACAGGAAAGTGTTTGGGGGTTGATGGCAACTCTTTGTGGTNTTATTTCTACAATTTTAAAAATGATAAGGTCACAAGTTGAATGCTTTGAAAGTATAAGGGGTTGATGTGTAATCAAAGCATTATTATCAACATGATCCTTCCATTTATATCAGTAGAATAACACCAGTTAAGTTGTATCAGATAATAAAAAAGTTTATTTAGCCCCTGTTTAAGCCACATTTTTACCTCATTAAAATGAAAAATATGACCGTTATCTATCACATCTAGCCACCATTTTTGAATTTCTATCTCTGGTTTGGGGCTCATAACGGCTCTATTTCTCATTCTCATTCTCATTATAATGTGGCTCAAACAGGCTCTTACTTTGATGTTTTTAACATCTATTGAAACCAAAAATAAAAAAAAAAAAATCTGCAATTAGTTCTAAGCCCCCGTTTGGCCCCCATTTTGTAGAAATGAAAATGGGTGGAATACTTTTTTTTGAAAAATGAGTGGTTGAAAAAGAATGAAAAGTTTTCGATTTACGTATAATATGATTTTATGGAATATTGTGTGGTTGAAAATACAAGAGAGAAAAATAGAATGTAATGGAATGAAAGTTAACGGGGGCTAAAATGCTTCAAAAGGCACTTCTTAAACTTTCAAAAAAGCTAGAAGCAAAAGCAACTCATTCAAGTAGATTATTTCTAGATATTGCTAGCAGATTACAGAATTACCGGTACTCACAGGAATCGAGTTTAATATTTCTAAGGGAATATTGTTGAATTTGTATAATCAGCCAAATCCCATTGCTGGGATTTAAATTGTCATAATTTGTTTCTACGCTTAAATGAGATGCGACATTAATTAGTATTCTACATTAGACCTAGAATTTTATATAAGTGCCATAAAGATCACATCTTTCACACCGCTAACTAATTAAAGAGATGCAAAGGCTTAGTTACATTTTTGGATACAAAAGTAGAAAGACTAACCACTTTCAACTCCAGCAACCCGTCAAATGACTGATATGCTGCAATACCACTTATGCTCAAGTCCTGGCATATTATTGATTCCCTTGTATTGTCCGCTAGCCACTCCTGAACCACGTCCAATGACAACTACATTCACGTGAATAAAGAAGTCACAAACACACTCCATTAACAAACTATCAAAGTCGTTAAGAAATAATTAACAACGTTAGTACTCTTCTATACAATTCAAAAACTAACATATGCAATCAAACAGATAAATTATCTTCGATGCAAATTCAAAGGCTGAATTTTGTTACTCCAATTGTAAGAACATATAACATGTTCACATCACAGATATATACAGCTATTTCATTGTCAGCATCCAAAACAGTTCAAAAACATGAATAAACTCGAGAATTGCTACTACACAAATGTAAAGACAGTCCCATTGACATGACCAATGCTTTGTTTGACCGGAAGGGAGTAGGAGGGACTGACTTATCCAAATATAAAATTAAACATATTCATCCATTCATTTTCTTTCCTTCTCTTCCATTTTCCGGAAACTGAGCAGAGCCTTAGCTATTTGCTACTATTTTACTATAAATTATCAGCATAATACATAGTAACACTACTTGTTTAAAAATACTAGGTTCAGTACATTTCCGTAGTATATACAAGTTTTACATTCAGCACATCAGAAGAAACATCTGATCACACGAATTCACTTCATGAATGCATTAAACATTAAAAAAAACAAAAAACACGAGTAACAATTTTCATTAACAATACCCACTCTGTTTTCAGCCAACCCAAGTTGAATTACACCATCCGGATTATTCATTTCATCATACGGGTCATCAGCAGCCTGCTTCAGGCCCAAAAAGTAAGGACCATCAGCCTGCTTAGCAATTGCATTAGCTCTAGACGACACCTGGGCCGGCCCACTAGACCCTCGTGGAGAAAGCAGCAACCTTGAATGAACCCTCTGCAAAGTCGACACTTCCGGCAAATGGGTCTCCGACGGAGAACTCTCCGTCTCCGTTGGCGCCGGAGGTTCGTCGGACTTGCTCCCACCCCTTCCCTTGAGGTAGAGCTGAAGAAAGTAAAAGAGAGCACAGGGTATAACTGAACCCAAGAAAAGACCTCCACGGCCTTGCACTATACCTTGTAAGGGCACTATCACCCTCATCGCCGTCGTGGCTCTGCCGCCGCCAGTGGTAGTGGTGGTGGAATTTCGGGTCTTTTTCATAGTGGGGTCATCCTGAAAGCCGTAACGTGAGGGCGGAATGATCGAAGACAACTATTTTTAACCTTTTTTTTGTTGTCTTATGTTAATTTTTGTTGGAATGAGTGAGTGATTGAGAAGCCTGTGGCTGATCTTTCTGAAAAAAATATAAAAAAATAAAATTGTGTTTGAATATGTGAACTCAAAGAAAGAGAAATTTGGCCATAATTGTTCGATGAAAATTTGCGCGGTAGGCCTATTTGGTTATAGAAGGCAGTGGATGAATCTAGTCAGTATCTTTTTCAAGAGCCACAGTTCCGAATTTAGGCCAATATTTTTTTTTTATGGAAAATGTCATTTTTTACCAAAATTTCTATTTTTTCATTGTTTGATTAATATTTTTTTCATAAAAAAATATTTTCATTCTGTAAAAGAAAAATTTATTAGGATTTAGAGTTGAATGACCATTATACCCCTGCAACCTTAGAAACTATTACTGTTGTATCCTTGATTCTGCCCTATAAATACAGAGTTTTAGTTCTTAATAAAATACACACAAGTCTATTGACTTCTTTCTATTCTCATCTCTTTTCTTCACTTTTCATGACATGTTATTAGCACGATAACTTAATTTTTCAAAATTTAGTGAATGTAATAATTTTTATAGACATGAATATTTATCACGTATATCAAAATTAATTTGGTAGCATGTAAAACATTTCAATATACACATGCATCATAACGAGGTTGTTTCTTCTTCTCTACTTTTCATTGGCATACATATTAATTCTAATTCACGTTTGTATGTATAATCTGAACACATATTAATTCGCGTTTTTTTATTCATACACGATCATTTTTTCCACATATTATTCAGTATTAATTCTGTCTTTTAAATCTGTTACATATTAGTTCTATCTTTAATTTCTATATATGTGAAATTCATATACATGTTTAGTATCTTTTGTATGTTGGTAAAAGATTTAGCCAATTTTTTTAACTTCTATGTATGGAGATTCTTTTTCTTAATGCATGCTTGGTAATTAATTTTTTTGTATAAATTCGTATCATATCTATATGATAATTAAATATTTTTAGATATTTTTCTATGAACTTCAAATTAAGAATTTATCATCTTTTTGTTCAAAAAATAGCACAACATTATAATTAATATTCCATAAGAATATTAATTGTATATCTATCTATTATAAATAGTGCGTTGTTGCTCCTAAATCAGCACAACATTATTAATATTCTAGAAGAATATCACTTATTTATAAAGAGTGTGATATTTCAAGTTCAATATTTTAAAAGAATATTGACTTAATGCTCTTGAAGAAGCATAATTTAAATTATATTTATTTTGAACGAATATAATGTTTATTTTCTCGAAAAAAACACAACACACGTTATATAAATATTCAAGAAGAATATTTCATTATTATTCATGTAGGCATAAATTTTATTATTTAACTCGAAAAGTAGAATGAATCGTTAATGTTAATATTCTAGAAAAATATTGTATTTATACTTTTGAAGATTATATGCCCCGTTGTGTTCTAAAGAAAGTACATTTTATACATAAAAAAATAATATTAAAAAAAATTGTGTTGGTGTTCCTGAAAAAACACAATGTTATTAATATTTTTTTAAAAAATATTAATTGCTCCAAAAGAATATGATATTATAATTTCAATATTCATAAAGAATATTGATCGATTATATATAAAATCACGAATTAAATTACTCTATTTATTTACGTGTCCATTTTTCTGAATACGTAATTAGATATTGATGTTCTATTCAGATTTTATTGCCCTTGAAGAGCATAATGATATAAAATCTAATATAAAGTTATGTTTTTACTCCTGAGAAGTAAATGCGTACATAATTATTACTGCAAACCAATGTATTATTGCTCCTAAAGAGCATAACATTAAATATTCCATATTTCAAAGAATATTGATCTATTGTTCTTGAAGAAGTACTAGTAAAATATAATGTGACCTCAAAATAATACATTATAATTTTCATTAATATTTTAGTTAGATATTCCTTGCTCTCGAAAAGTATAATTACATATAATTTAACGTAAATTGTATTTTTACACTCGAAAAATAAATTATTGTATAATTTATTATAATAACATTTGATTGCTCCTGAATAGTTTGAATTATAATTTTCAATATTCCTGAAGAATATTGACATATTGCTTTTGAATGAGCATATATATATATATATATATATATATATATATATATAACGTGCTTTTAAAGGAACACATGTTTTGAAAAATATATTATTTTGAATTCATGTTTATCCCTGAAGGAAAATATATAACTAATGTTGTTGGAATATTGATTAGTTTGACTACTTGAATGATATATGATTTTATAATATTTAATCATATTTTTCGAGATTAAATAACTGAATTATATATTATATTGAACCAGAAGTTCAATTTGATTTTATTGTTTGGCATGACCAGTTGGACCATCACTGGATCAATAATGATGCGGAATTAAAAAATTTTAATGGATATTAAATGAAGAATCAGAAGATTTTAAAATCCAATGAATTCCTACATATTATTTGTTCTATTTATCGACAATTGATCATTAAACATCGCTAGCTAAAATTGGGATTGAATTCCCTATATTTCTGAAAATTAATTAGGGAGATATAAAGCCCCATCACCCAACATGTTAATCATCTAAATATTATTTGTATCTAATAGATTTGACACAAATATTAGATGATTGCATAGTGTTCACAATCTGAAGTTTTGCGAAATTATTGCTCAAGTTATGAGCATAATTTTCAGATTCTATAATCAAAACTATGTCTTGTTAATGCTAGTGGGTATAAATCTTAACATTTTAATAAGTGTTAGTTGAGATGTCGATAAATGGTTTAACACTATTGTTTGTTAAATGCCTCCAATTAATTTAATTGAGAATAAAGTATTTTCCATTTTTATTTAAGAAATTTTATTACGCATCATACCAAAATCACAGCTCTCCCTATTATAATCAGCTTATGATCATTTCCTAACTTTTTCATCTTATTATTTTTTATGGTATAGTATATGTAAAAATTGAACACCACAATACACTAAGATGAAAAACAAAGAATGCTGAGAATAAGTACGTAGTTTGAACTATTATTTCAAATGACGATATTTTATAACACCGAAAAAATGAATGTCAATTTGATTGGACAATTATCTCAGCATTAGGGGGAAATTAAGAAGTTGAAAATAATATATAAATGTATCATCATTTAAACTCTCGCTAAATATCATTTGAACTAGAAGTTCGAAAGATAATTTATTTAGATACATTTATCAATCAAAGAGATCAATAATATCTCACCAATTTTAATACTTCAATACGAATTGATGTCTTAGGGATAATTTGTTAGCATTGTAAAAAAAATATATCTATGGCACGCCTGAAGCGTGATAGTGTTCGATTTTAATACAAAAAATCTTCAAATAAAAATGGAGCAATTAGCAAAGATAATTTCATTAAGGAGGCATATATTCTTAATGAGTATTTAGACATAACAAATTATAAAACTCTAGAAGAGGTTCAGGTACCTGATATGTTGAAAATTGAAATATCTAAATAAGTTATGTCATTATGGAAAAAGAAATAGAATCGAACGAGAAAAGAAAAAGTTGTCGACAACAATTTTGTACATGATATACAGTATCATATGTGAATTGCGAGGTTGAAATAAATACATCGAAATATATCGATCGAAATAATGTTTGACCAAATAAAAGGAGACGTAATTTTAAATTGAATTTACTAGATAAACACGAAAATTTTGGACATGTAGTCCGAAAATCTAGAGGTATATACTTATACGAAAAGGAAATGAGAAAAATGAAGTCGTAATGTGTAATGCACAACTCTCAACTTAGTGAATTTTGCAAAGATCGTAATGGACAAAATCACGAGTCTATATCATGTTAACTTGATGATACATGAAATTTGAAATACATGATAACCAACTGATTTGACATGATTATTAATGTTATCTTTGAAAGATTTAACATGCCTGAAACATAACTCAAATGATATATGCTCGAGAACCATGTTCTTAGATCATTATATTGATTAAAACAATCAGATGCATGTTGTATAATCATTTTAGCGAATATTTATTGAATGAATGCTATAAAATGACCATGTCCGCCCATTAAAAAAAAATATTGGATTTGCAATTATGGATAATGATTTAAATTTAATTGGAACTCCTGAAGAAACCAACAAAGTTGCTGGTTATTTAAAAAATGAAATTGAGATAAAAAAATTTGGGAAAAATCAAATTTTGTCTTAGGTTGCAAATTTAACATTTCCCAAAAAGATTATTTGCTGATTAATCTATGTATACCAAAAAAAGTTTTAAAACGCTTTTATATTGATAATGCACATCCACTGACATCATCATAGTTGTTCGATCATTTGATATGAAAAATGATCTATTTCGTCCACTTAAAGATAGAGAAAATGTTCTTAATCTTGAAGTACTATACCTTAGTGTAATTGGAGCATTAATTTATCTTATAAATTGCACTCGACTTGACATAACGTTTTCTGTAAGTTTCTTTACAAGATATAGCTCTACACCAATTCAAAAATAGTGGAATGATGTTAAACATATTTTTCATTACCTAAAGGGTACTATTGATTTGAGATTATTTTATTCTCAAAAGTCAGGATCTGTTTTAGTGGGATATACAGATGCATATTATCTCTCTGACCCACATAAAACTAACTCACAAATAGGATATGTGTTTACAGGTGGAAGAACGGTTATATCATGGAGATCCGTAAAACAATCCTTGACAGCAACATTCTCAAATCATTCTAAAATTATTACAATCCATGAGCAAGCTAATAATGTATATGGTTGAGGATATGACTCATCATATCCAAGTATTATGCGGGTCAACTCCAACAAAGGATAGTTAACAATTTTGTATGAAGACAAAGCAACTTGTATTGCACAATTCAAAGGAGGGTATATCAAAGGTGATAGAACGAAATATATTTCTCCAAAATTCTATCATACACATGAGTTTCAGAAAAATGGTGACATTGATATCCAACAAATTCTCTCACGTGACAATGTGATCGATTTATTCACAAAAACACTGCCGACATCTACATTCGAGAAATTAGATCATGATATTGGAATGCGTTGACTCAAAAATTTTCAGTGATCAACATCAGGGGAAGTATCTGTACTATTTTTTCCACGCTTAGGTTT